GGATCAAAGCACGGACAATATTAGCCCAAGTGTTAGGCTACAGCGTAGGGATCATTCCTGCTAATATCGATCTGCGAGGTTAGTGCAAAAACGCATGATCGCACCGGAGAGCCTGATGCGTTCCAGCCTGGGTTTTTTTGGTGTTTTTTGGAAGGCTTAAGGCTGCTGCTGCTGGTGGTGCTGGTGCTGCTGCTGATGTTTATTCTTGGCCCGTTTCTGGTGTCTGATATCGCATCGTGGCTGTTTAGGAAGTAATTTTTTTTTTTCATTTCTAGGAAACTTTCGTATCATTTCGTGGGTCGGAGAATTCGCTGGATCGTATAAGTTCTGCTGTTCCTCGCTCGCAGCTTGGCTATGATAAGATTTATTCTTATTCAAAATCGTGCTGGAAAAACCCGTCTGGCCAAATGGTACATGAATTTTGACAACGATGAAAAGCAGAAGCTGATCGAAGAAGTGCATGCTTGTGTTACAGTTCGTGATGCAAAGCATACCAATTTTGTCGAGGTTGGCGCTTTTCTCGTAACAGATCGCATTGGTCAATCAGATAACCCCGTACCAGATAAGCGCGCTGGACGAAAAATGGTAAAATTGTACGCAAAAGCAAAGAAGCAAGTAAGGAATTGGTAAGGCGGGATGATTTACCACTTTTGTCAGAATCACCATGGAAGGGGGAGGGGGATGCGGGAGGGAGAGGGGACTCTCAGTAGCACCAGATGGCAAAGAAAATACGGCAGCGATGGTACCTAACCAAAAATATCGTTTTTCTTTCTCGTTATTTTTTTTTTTTTCGTTCTGCAATTCGCCGCGGTGGCTTAGCTGACTGCGAACTATTTCGATCGAAAATCAGCGCCATTTTGCCTCTTTTTCGTCCCTCATTTTCTCCAATAATTGTTCCTCTGCTTTTGTGCGACTGCAAAAAAGAATTACAATTGCGATAGATTTATAATCACATAAATTTTTTTGTTGAATTTTTGCATTTTATTGCGTTCTGTTAAGCGAATCCGTTTTGGCTTTCAGTTTCGGAACTTCAAAATAGTTTATCGACGCTATGCGGGCCTCTACTTTTGCATTTGTGTTGATATACTGGATAATAATTTGTATTATTTGGAAGCGATTCATAATTTCGTGGAAGTTTTGAACGAATATTTTCACAATGTATGCGAGCTTGATTTAGTATTTAATTTCTACAAGGTTCGTTTTTTTACCTGACTCATTGAATAAATTGTGAAAGCAGTAATAATAATAACAATAATGATGATGATAACAATATTAATAACGACAATAATGATAATGACAATAATAATAACAATAATAAACCTGGCAATAATTGCAGTAGTGGAGTGGCAAACGATAATAACAATACTACTACTACTATTACTACTACTACTACTACTACAACTACAACTACAACTACAACTACAACTACAACTATCATGAATAATAATAATAACAATAATAATAACATCAATAATAATAATATCAATAATAATAATATCAATAATAATAATAACAATAATAATAATGGCAGCAATAATAATAATGATAACAGTAATAGCAATAATTATAATAACAGTCACAGTAAATAAAACCTGGCATTAATATCAATAAAATATTTCCAAAGTATGTGCTTAATATGCGGAGGAACGTGCCGATTTTATTATTTTACAAAAGATCGTAGTAGAAATTCATTCTAATCAAACAAAGTATGGGAAACGAAAACTAATTAAGAGTAGAAAAGCAATAAATTAGTTAGTGAAAGGGAATGTTTCGGTCCATCAAATGTTTCAAGTAATAAATGTTGCAAGAGAAATGAACATATATATGGTAGGTTTTGAGCTCAACTTTAGCACCACACACGCACACACGCAATTCATCTCCTTTTGCATACATATATTGCTGTACCGCTCGGTTAATTTCACGCCCTTTCAGGTGTATACTGTGGTGGATGAAATGTTTCTTGCCGGTGAGATACGTGAAACTTCACAGACTAAGGTGCTGAAACAATTGCTCATGCTTTCATCCTTGGAATAACTGATTTAGTTTCCGAACCGCCCTAAAACTCTGTGTAAATTTTTCCTGGTTTTCCTTTGCAACTGGTCTTTTTCCATGGAATTAGCGGGAAAATCATCCCGTGCAAATTGTTTTTCGTCTGTCGTCCCCTACAAAAAACGTTCCTTTTTTTTCTGATTTAGTGCGATTTGCTTAATTGGCGGTATTAATTGTTAGGGAGAGTGATGATGCCCACATCTCGCCCTGTTTCTTTCTCTGCTTTCTGCGCTTTTCTTCTTTCTGGATATTCAATTACTTATCACTTATTTGTATGTATTTTCCCAATATTATTTGATTTTATTGTCTCACTGTTCTTCCGCAGTTGTCGATTTTGATATTTAGGGGAGGGCAGAGTAAAATGGAGAAGAAAAATTGTCGATTTTGATATTTAGAGGAGGGCTGGGTAAAATGGAGAAGAAATGTACTGTGCGTTAAAGGAGTTTGTCAGTAGGCTCGAAATTTTTTTGTACGAATATCGCAGTCTTTTTTTCTTCACCACTTGTACGTTGTTACTAATAATATGTGCAAGTAACTTTAAGTTCTTTGTGAATACATCTAATTTTTGTACACCAAAAAATTAATTTTCATTTACTAAAGGCCTCTTGTACTTTCATCTCTTGAAGCACGCATTTTTTCTTTTTTATACGTACTTCGCGTTTTGTCTTTCATCAAGTCAAATAGAATAAAGATTTTTGCTTTGTAAGATTTAGGATTTTCAATTCAACTTTTTAAAAAACCCGTTCTTTAATGATGTCCTATATATTTCTGAATATGCCACCGGTTGTGAGTAAACTCACATTCTGTAGAATGTACACGCAATCCGTGTGTTTCGAATTTTCTGCCGAAGCAGAAGACAGATATTACTTATCAGAATAAAATTATTCAATTCATGTGTTTGTGTTATGTATCGTGTGCAGTGAATGTTACCAGCTACTTTCGTTTTCTGTCTGCATATTCGCTTTTGAGGAGGATAATTTGCTTCATCA